GCAGGACCATCATAGAATACCTCGTGTGGCTCTGCCTGTGGCAATAGCTGTCCTGATGCGTCTAGGCAAATGGGTGATTATAATGTAGGGCAGATGTTCTCAACCAGGGGACCTGCCCCCCACCCAACCCAGGGGACAACTGGTAGTGTCTAGAGACAGTTTTGGTTGTCTGGGGAGGGCTGGGGGAGGTTTACCTGCATTATGGGGAGAGGCCAAGGATGCTAAGAATCCTACAATGTACAGGACACCCACACACAACAAAGAACTACCCCATTAAAATGTCCACAGTGCCGAGACTGAGAAACCACAGTCTAGGTGCTCTTCATGTTGGCTAGAGGCTTTTGGTCCCCATATTTTAAGAACTCCTAACAGACAGGTTCTGGCTGCTAATACTGGAAGTGAAAGGAAACACAACATCCATTCTCTTTCAACTTTCCCTTAGCCCTTGTGTTTTTGGTAATAAAGCCTAATAAACCATTACATTTAGTGCCTGCTCTTCACTGTTCAATGAAATAAGGATCACATGTCTTAGAAGTTGACAGAAGATGGGAAATTAACAAAACCAAGGAAGAAAGCAAAGAAGGAAGAAAGGAGGGTGGGAGGGAGAGAGGGGTTTGGTTGTCATTTCCAGTTAAATGAAACCAAATCAACCATTCTGCGGACAATTATCTGTTCTATTGTGAGTCTGATCATGTTTAGAAACTGCTTCTTGCCACCCAAGAAATAAATTGCCTGTAAATACTCATTCAGGCATTGTGGCCTCTCCCAGGAGACATCGCTTATATAACTGAGGCCACCTAGTGGTTTCTAGTGTGGATCACAGCTAATTAGACCCTAGGATCCTGGCTTGAATATAAATTCTGATTTTTATATATATCTCTATGTACAAAAGGGGAAATCCCTAGCCTGGACAACTTAAAAGATATTACCCGTTTCTTTAACATTCAACTTAATTCAACAAGGATTAATTGTGCCCCTCTACATATACAAATCTTAAAGCAATGGTACTGGGGAGCCTGTAAGCAACCTCACTGTAGGAAGAAAAATCCTAGCTTCTGTCTTCAAAAAGCAGGGTCTTTACAAGTTCTCAAAGAACTGTTCTTTTATGCACCTTGCCATAAATAACTCTAAAGAGGTGGAACATAGCATGTGAGAATTATATTCAAAATTTCACATTTTCACATAGGTGTTGGACCCAAAGGTAATACTAAGCATTAGTAGGAGAATAAGGTTTCTCTTTTTCCAATCTAGATATGAAGTAGCAATAAGATTTGTGTGTTTGAGAAGGAAAAAAAGAATCTATTTGTTTATTTGATCAATTTTTCTTTACATTTGTCTTTACTCAGATTGATTACTCAGATCAGGCCAACTGGTCCACTCACTGACACCCACTTCATGACTTCTATGGCCAAGACAGACAGGTGCAAGAATGCTAAGGACGTTTTTAAGCCACCAGCTCTAAAGTCAACATCAGTATCTCGATTTCCAGTGAGACTGTGAAAAGGCTGGAAACTCACAGCTTGGGTTCTCCTTCCCAGTTGTGATGCTGGCAATAAAAATAAAGAGTCAGCATCTGGCTTCCTCTCAGCTCAGCCCATTTCATCCGAGAAAAAGATGCCATCCCAAGGGGCCATTCAGGATATATGTCTTTTGGATGGTACTTAGAATGTTTCATTCATCATTGTGTTTTATTGACACCAAAAAAAAAGTCTCTCTTTTTTTGGCAGGCTAATTTTCCATGACTCCCTCCTTTCTTTTAAATTGACACATTCTTAGAATCTTAAAGTCTATTCACAAACTTGGCGGAGCTAGACTGCTCAGAACCAAACTGTGGCCAGCCTTGGTTTATGGTGTGTGCCTTGTATGGCAGCCTTGATGAAGAAACTATTAAGCCAGAACATCCCCAGACACTGTTTCCCCTCAACTGTTTTCTGACGCGATGCTAAAGAGAAATAAAGGCTCGTACAGGAAGAGCAATCCAAGAGGAAACCATGAGTGTGGGATGCAGGAGGCAGAGGACATTTACCTGGTCGCGATCCCCTGCAAAACAGCAGCTTTTCATGGTGCAAGAGTTGAAGTAACCCTGATTGTCAAACTGGAAAACAGGCAGGCGGGAGTGGATGTCATAGAGCACAGGGGGCAGGCGGCGCCTCAAGGCCAGGAGCTGGGTCCCGTTGCTGTTGAATCGCACACTCATGGCACTTTGGAGGGATAGGTTGCCACCATAGCGTAGGAGAGAGCTGGAAGGCAGGAAGCACAGGGACTGCGATGAGGCAGGCTGCAAGAGGGTCTGTAAAACTCACCACATTTATCTTCCCATCATGTGCCCAGGACCTACTGACAAGGTTTCTACATCAGAATTTCAGCAGAGGGCTAGGGGTAAGAAAGCGGAGAGAAATGGTTCCTTCATTACATTAAAGCAAGTTATTTAACCTGTCAGTTCACCTTTTCCATCTCCAAAATATGAATTACTAGTAAATTTATAGGAAAATGATTACAAAAGCACCGTGAAAGAAGAGACATTAAAATGATTAGTTACTTGATTTATCCAAGTTAACTACATTATACAGACACTCATCAAGACTCTGGAAAGCGAGTGTGTCTATAGTCTAACTGGCTAATCATGGATGATATTTCTGGGATCTATTTCTCTTAGTCTTAGGGATACAAGACCCACCAGCATGAAAAACAGATACTTTTACTGCTTATTCTGGTATTTTTCAATAATAACTTCATTACTTAAGCATTTGTTTTTGAATTTTTAATCTGTTCACAGAGAATTTTTTTTTGGTATCATTAATCTACAATTACATGAAGAACATTATGTCTACTAGACTCCCCATCACCAAGTCCCCCCCACATATCCCATTACAGTCACTGTCCATCAGTATAGTAATAAAAAAATTAAAAACCATTCAATGTTTTTATCATTACATAGAACCTGAAAAGCAAAAACTACATCTGTGTATACAAGCAGGACCATCATAGAATACCTCGTGTGGCTCTGCCTGTGGCAATAGCTGTCCTGATGCGTCTAGGCAAATGGGTGATTATAATGTAGGGCAGATGTTCTCAACCAGGGGACCTGCCCCCCCACCCAACCCAGGGGACAACTGGTAGTGTCTAGAGACAGTTTTGGTTGTCTGGGGAGGGCTGGGGGAGGTTTACCTGCATTATGGGGAGAGGCCAAGGATGCTAAGAATCCTACAATGTACAGGACACCCACACACAACAAAGAACTACCCCATTAAAATGTCCACAGTGCCGAGACTGAGAAACCACAGTCTAGGTGCTCTTCATGTTGGCTAGAGGCTTTTGGTCCCCATATTTTAAGAACTCCTAACAGACAGGTTCTGGCTGCTAATACTGGAAGTGAAAGGAAACACAACATCCATTCTCTTTCAACTTTCCCTTAGCCCTTGTGTTTTTGGTAATAAAGCCTAATAAACCATTACATTTAGTGCCTGCTCTTCACTGTTCAATGAAATAAGGATCACATGTCTTAGAAGTTGACAGAAGATGGGAAATTAACAAAACCAAGGAAGAAAGCAAAGAAGGAAGAAAGGAGGGTGGGAGGGAGAGAGGGGTTTGGTTGTCATTTCCAGTTAAATGAAACCAAATCAACCATTCTGCGGACAATTATCTGTTCTATTGTGAGTCTGATCATGTTTAGAAACTGCTTCTTGCCACCCAAGAAATAAATTGCCTGTAAATACTCATTCAGGCATTGTGGCCTCTCCCAGGAGACATCGCTTATATAACTGAGGCCACCTAGTGGTTTCTAGTGTGGATCACAGCTAATTAGACCCTAGGATCCTGGCTTGAATATAAATTCTGATTTTTATATATATCTCTATGTACAAAAGGGGAAATCCCTAGCCTGGACAACTTAAAAGATATTACCCGTTTCTTTAACATTCAACTTAATTCAACAAGGATTAATTGTGCCCCTCTACATATACAAATCTTAAAGCAATGGTACTGGGGAGCCTGTAAGCAACCTCACTGTAGGAAGAAAAATCCTAGCTTCTGTCTTCAAAAAGCAGGGTCTTTACAAGTTCTCAAAGAACTGTTCTTTTATGCACCTTGCCATAAATAACTCTAAAGAGGTGGAACATAGCATGTGAGAATTATATTCAAAATTTCACATTTTCACATAGGTGTTGGACCCAAAGGTAATACTAAGCATTAGTAGGAGAATAAGGTTTCTCTTTTTCCAATCTAGATATGAAGTAGCAATAAGATTTGTGTGTTTGAGAAGGAAAAAAAGAATCTATTTGTTTATTTGATCAATTTTTCTTTACATTTGTCTTTACTCAGATTGATTACTCAGATCAGGCCAACTGGTCCACTCACTGACACCCACTTCATGACTTCTATGGCCAAGACAGACAGGTGCAAGAATGCTAAGGACGTTTTTAAGCCACCAGCTCTAAAGTCAACATCAGTATCTCGATTTCCAGTGAGACTGTGAAAAGGCTGGAAACTCACAGCTTGGGTTCTCCTTCCCAGTTGTGATGCTGGCAATAAAAATAAAGAGTCAGCATCTGGCTTCCTCTCAGCTCAGCCCATTTCATCCGAGAAAAAGATGCCATCCCAAGGGGCCATTCAGGATATATGTCTTTTGGATGGTACTTAGAATGTTTCATTCATCATTGTGTTTTATTGACACCAAAAAAAAAGTCTCTCTTTTTTTGGCAGGCTAATTTTCCATGACTCCCTCCTTTCTTTTAAATTGACACATTCTTAGAATCTTAAAGTCTATTCACAAACTTGGCGGAGCTAGACTGCTCAGAACCAAACTGTGGCCAGCCTTGGTTTATGGTGTGTGCCTTGTATGGCAGCCTTGATGAAGAAACTATTAAGCCAGAACATCCCCAGACACTGTTTCCCCTCAACTGTTTTCTGACGCGATGCTAAAGAGAAATAAAGGCTCGTACAGGAAGAGCAATCCAAGAGGAAACCATGAGTGTGGGATGCAGGAGGCAGAGGACATTTACCTGGTCGCGATCCCCTGCAAAACAGCAGCTTTTCATGGTGCAAGAGTTGAAGTAACCCTGATTGTCAAACTGGAAAACAGGCAGGCGGGAGTGGATGTCATAGAGCACAGGGGGCAGGCGGCGCCTCAAGGCCAGGAGCTGGGTCCCGTTGCTGTTGAATCGCACACTCATGGCACTTTGGAGGGATAGGTTGCCACCATAGCGTAGGAGAGAGCTGGAAGGCAGGAAGCACAGGGACTGCGATGAGGCAGGCTGCAAGAGGGTCTGTAAAACTCACCACATTTATCTTCCCATCATGTGCCCAGGACCTACTGACAAGGTTTCTACATCAGAATTTCAGCAGAGGGCTAGGGGTAAGAAAGCGGAGAGAAATGGTTCCTTCATTACATTAAAGCAAGTTATTTAACCTGTCAGTTCACCTTTTCCATCTCCAAAATATGAATTACTAGTAAATTTATAGGAAAATGATTACAAAAGCACCGTGAAAGAAGAGACATTAAAATGATTAGTTACTTGATTTATCCAAGTTAACTACATTATACAGACACTCATCAAGACTCTGGAAAGCGAGTGTGTCTATAGTCTAACTGGCTAATCATGGATGATATTTCTGGGATCTATTTCTCTTAGTCTTAGGGATACAAGACCCACCAGCATGAAAAACAGATACTTTTACTGCTTATTCTGGTATTTTTCAATAATAACTTCATTACTTAAGGATTTGTTTTTGAATTTTTAATCTGTTCACAGAGAATTTTTTTTTGGTATCATTAATCTACAATTACATGAAGAACATTATGTCTACTAGACTCCCCATCACCAAGTCCCCCCCACATATCCCATTACAGTCACTGTCCATCAGTATAGTAAGATGCTATAGAATCACTACACAGAGCATTTTAAAAATTAATTTTTAAAATTAAAGTATCATTGATATCCACTCTTATGAAGGTTTCACATGAAAAACATTGTGGTTACTACTTTGGTTAGTGTGGTTACCCATATTATCAAGTCCCCCCCATACCCCATTGAAGTCAGTGTCCATCAGTGTACTAAGATGCCACAGAGTCACTACTTGTCTTCTCTGTGCTATACTGTCTTCCTCATGACCACCCCCCCAACATATGTACTAATCATAATACCCTTCAATCCCCTTCTCTCTCTCTCTCCCTACCAACCCTCCTCCACTCCTCCCCTTTAGTGACCGCTAGTCCCTTCTTTGAGTTACAGAGAATTTTTATATTTACACAGCATGACTACAGAGTAAATATTAAATAAAAGTTTAATTTAAATGTAGAGCAAGTAGTACAACAATTGAGAAAGCAAGACTTGTTTTCTTTTACAATTCCCAAAAGTTTATATTTAGATTTGAAATATACTTTGGTTAATATATATAATTCCATTTATCTAGCTTCACTAGGGAATTGTATATATGCTCTAGTTCACCTACTATCTAGCTTCACTAGGGAATTGTATGTATGCTCTAGTTCACCTACTATTCTTCTGTAATTTCATAATATTCATAACATTAAAGAAAGTCACACATTATGCTTCCAAAAAATTTATTTTGAGGACTCAGAAGGTACTTTCAATTTTACAGAGAACTAGGATGGCCATGAACATTAACAATTATGTTACTAAGTAAAAAGGGTTGTGTGTGTGTGTGTGCACACGCACATGTGTGCACTCTAGCACACCTGTGTCTATTTTATATTTCCAAGAACCAGTATCCTTGATTACCTAGATACTATTTTATTATTATGGAGGGGTGGCTGCTCACTGACTGTGCCATAACCAACTTTTCTTTTGTATTTTGGGTTCAATTCTTGGAACACTAAATTACTGGTAGGAAAGTGAGGTTAACTACATGCATTGGGGATGGGGTAGAAATTAGTGTACATCAGAATTCACACACAGATTACCATTATGGCAAGGAAATAACCCTAATAGTTTTAGGGAAAAAAGGAGAATTTATAAATTCTAGAGAATCACAGAACTGAAAAGAACCTCAAGATACCTAAATTAAAGCCTAGCTGATTTATAGGGAACATTTTTAAGGAAGGAGTTTTAATAGCATTTTACTAGGTAAGAACCTAAAGAGCTGTATGCTACCAGAAGGGATTTAATATTGAATGAAGGTAACATTTTCTTTTTTTTTTTTCATTTCACAAGACAGTGATGGGGAAGATTAAGGGGACAAGAAAGGAGATACCCTATGAGAAAAGGAGCCCTTGAAACCAGGGTGCAAAAGAAGCTGCCAACCTGGCCTGGTCATAGAAGCAGTCTGCACCACCATTAGCCAGTCAGTCCTGTGTACCCCACCAGAGGCAGGAATGCTCTGGTACTGCAACTGTGTACGGAGCCAAGACTTAGGCAAAACAGACTAAGAACCTCAAGATACCTAAATTAAAGCCTAGCTGATTTATAGGGAACATTTTTAAGGAAGGAGTTTTAATAGCATTTTACTAGGTAAGAACCTAAAGAGCTGTATGCTACCAGAAGGGATTTAATATTGAATGAAGGTAACATTTTCTTTTTTTTTTTTTCATTTCACAAGACAGTGATGGGGAAGATTAAGGGGACAAGAAAGGAGATACCCTATGAGAAAAGGAGCCCTTGAAACCAGGGTGCAAAAGAAGCTGCCAACCTGGCCTGGTCATAGAAGCAGTCTGCACCACCATTAGCCAGTCAGTCCTGTGTACCCCACCAGAGGCAGGAATGCTCTGGTACTGCAACTGTGTACGGAGCCAAGACTTAGGCAAAACAGACTATAATCCTCTTATGAATGGCATGGAAGAATGATGGAAGAGACTTAGAAAATGGTCCCTGGAACTCCCAACATCAAGAAGCCTGGTACCCCTACAGATCCCAAGTAATAATCCCTGCAGAGAAGTGTTCCTATATGGTCCTGGACACAGGCCACACTCACTCACATACGGAGAATGAATGACGGGGCTGTTAGAGCCCAAGCATTTCCTTTAAAGGGTGCCCTAGCTGCCACAGGCATGTGGTGTTATCTAAACACTGAGCTCAAAAACAATGAGAGGCTTTCAATTCAAGATCAGCATGGAGTGTGCAAATAAACGAGCATCTGTAGGACTGAAAAGAAGCTGGGGGTGGAAACAAGACTCAACAAAAAGAAACTTGGCCAGCACCCCCCCAGCCATAGCAGCAGGGGTTTGCATCAGTTCAGGCATCCCTGACAGGAAAGCTGGGGCCTCTGGCAAACGCGTTTCCATATGTTAAAAGGAACTTCCTCTCTGATTCTAGCCAGTCCTTGTGAGAGTCCACCCAGGACAGGCATGGGGCCCAACCCACCCATACCCAAGCTCCTTGACCTACGTTTGCAATCTGGCCATTTTACACGAGTCTGTTTATGGGCTCCAGAGAATCCCTAACTTTTCTCTTGCCTGTACTTCTGGGCAGGGAACTCTCCTCTCTCTCATACAAAGAGGGTATACATGTAGGAATCTTGCTCCCAGAGTGTTCAGGGGATGCTATTTAAAGAGCAGCAGATGCTAAAACTGAATACTTCATGTTCAGGTACAAAATTAAATTCCTTCCAAATTTGTTCACCATGTAAGAACTTGTTCGTTATGCTTCAGAAGATTGGAGCCTGTTGAGAATTAGGTTTGGGGTGGATTAATGATTGTGCATTGAGTCCCCTATACAGAATTTTATTGTTGTTAACAACCATTTGATCAATAAATATGAGAGATGCCCTCTCAAAAAAAAAAATTAAATTCCTTCCAGAGGAATGCAATGATACCTGAAATCCAGAAAGTGAACTATATTAACTGTAATTTCTCAGTAGGGATTCTGTATCTGGCTTCTTCTGATGAGAGCAGTAAGGATAACCTAGTTCATCAGAAAGAAAAGGCTTAGAAGCAGTTTGCCTTCACAGTCAAGATACAAAGATAATGTCAAAGACTGTATAGCTTAAGGTTCAAGTGTAAAATGTATGACAAATTACCTGGGACTTTAGAAAAATACAGATTCTCAGAAACCACCCCCACATCCACCACCAGATATTCTAATTCAATCTGAGAAGTAGGTCCAGGAATCTGAACCTAATGATTCTGATGCATGTGACTTTCAAACCACATTTTGAGAAACATGGTTCCATTTTGGAATTTTGGGGGAGAGGAAGTAGAAGGAGTAGGAAGTGGGGAAAATAAGGTGGAAAGAAAGCAGATTATCAGAGGCTGGATGAAAAGTCAACCACACAATAGGGCACTTTTACAACCCTATGCCTATTAGCGAAAGGGCTCCAATTCCTTTCAAGATCAGAGTTCCACTCCATGCACACTGTCTGAAAAGTCTTTTTTCCTGTTCTCAACACATTACCTGAAGAAGTTTCTCTTTTCCTCTTGGAGAACTAACTGCACCTGTTTATAACAAGAATACTTCAATCTCGAGTTGCTTTCTGGGCTCTTACCGTGATAACAGAGATGCCACTATCTACCTTCCTCCAGGGAAATGCCCTCTATTACCCATCTAGATGAGATGAGTAGTATCCTGAAAGTTCTAGCACATTACAATGAATTCAAATTAAAATATCCCCGTAAGAAACATAAAAGCAATACCTATCCCCAACCTATCTTCAACCAAGGATTTGTCACAAAATGCAAAAGAACAGGGGAAGGAGGTGATCCAAGGGTTAGCATGCAAAAGACTCAGGACAAAAAGCATGCGGACCTCAGAATATCAGGAAAAGATCCCTCACTAGTCTGGTCTCCTGGTTTGTGTGTTTTTGTGGGTTTTTTTTTGCTTTCCACCTCTGACAAATACTTGGACTTCTTTATTGCTCTAGTGGGGTAAAAAGAACATTTCTAAAAGTGCTGGCAAAGGCTAAGGCTTTGGAACAGAAACTGGTGAGGCCATTCCCAGAGCAAGTGACTCTAGTATCATGTCTAACCCAAGATAGGGCATCAATTAAGGTTCTAAGAGCAGACTCCATGAACCTAGATTTACATAAATCCATGGCTAAGCAATTCATCTGATGATACTAACAAGATTTTCCAAAGCCCACTGTCATGAATTTCCCATAGTTTCTTTGTAAGAGCTTCATAAGACCTGTGAAATGCACTGCTGACCACAGACATCAGAGCTGGTATCACACAATCAGAAAGGCAAAACAGAGGTCCTATAGGTAGGGGATAACATCTCCTGTCCAATTTTTGCTTTAGGATAGGATGACCTATAAGGAATATG